TATTTTTTTTTTTTTGGCCTTGTTTTTTACTGTTAGTATGCTGGTTTTTTTTATGAAGAAAACTCGTATTTTAAAGAAAAGAAATCCTTTATCAAAAAATTTGTGTGAAGTGAAACCTGAAGTGGAGATCAAGCTTCTTTGAAGTAAAGCTCACAAATTAGGAAAATTAGTCAGAGCTGCGCATAGTTACATGGTATTTGTGTTGGTGGGATGTAGCAGTTACCCAGTAGAATTAGTGGAGGTGAGCGAACTGGCATTAATACCAGCATCATCAAAATTTTTTTAGGAAAATTAAAATATGCCAAAAAGTATAGAGATTTAGTACTATTGTGATCAAGTTGCCATTTAAATTACTAGTTTTAGCATCCTGTATACAGTAAAGTTGATATTAATCCTGCTCTGTCGAAGTTGAGATTCAAAAAACTTCTCTTCTAGCAGGTATAACTTTGCACGCCATTGTTTGAAGCATACACTTCCCTAAATACATAGCTTGACCCATGAAATGATAAGCCCTTCACATTATATGGCTTTAAGCTGCTGTTTAATATTGAACTTGCACCTCAACTGTTTGGCTAAGTACTTGCATTCGCCCATCAATGTTTGGTTGATAGAAAGAGATCACCTTGTTCTTTCACGGATTCAAATCCTCGTCTCCCATAGACACACCCTTGGTGCTTTGGAAAAACATTTAATTTCTGTGTATCTAGAAGACTTATATTTCTGTTGATAGTGTAATAAAAAATCCTATTCTCTTGTGTGTGTAATTGAGTTATCTGAAACAAGTGGGTTTTCTAGTATAATACTTGTTCATGAGTTTTCAAGTCAAGCTATGTAGCATGGGCGTTTAGTGATAGGCTGTCGTTGTAGCTTGGAGATTTTGTAACAGTCTCCTTGGAATTTTACTATTACGTGGACCAGCTGGTTGTATAATCTCACTGACCTCATCTCAAGAAGAACAATGTCAAAATGGTGCATCTTTGAAACAGTTACTTAATTTGTTGGAGGAGATTCTATATGCTTTAGTTTAATATTGATGTCTCATTGCAACCCTTAAGCAGAATATCTGGGGTCTTTGTTCAAATGTTTATTCCTTGATTGTCTACCAGTAATTATGAGTTGGCTTGGATATGAACTATGAGGAATGTTTGTTCTTTTTTATTGTGTAATTGACAGGAAAAATATTCTTGTATTTGCAACAAAGAGCTTTAGATGCTATTGTTGTTGTTGTTGTTGTTGTTGTTGTTGTTGTTGTTGTTATTATTATTACTGTTATCATCATCATCATTATCATCATCATCATCATTATCTTATCTTTGCTTTTGAGAGTTCCATATACTTCTTGTTCTGCATGTCCACTTCAATTGAGTGATAAGGAAAGCTTTGAAACCTGTCTGGATGTGACCTTTTCTTTCATTATCTCTATTTTTTATTTCATGTGGGGTGGGTGAGGGAGAGAAGAGGGCGCGAATTTGAAGAATACCAGCTTGAAATGTTATCGAGATAATGGTTGGTTAGTTTATCTAATTGATGCATTGTGTTTCATTTGAAGCGCCTAGTCACTTGCTCTGCAATATTCCTTGTAAATATCTAATCTTATCATAAAAAGAAAAAAGAAGGTTGGTTGGTCACTCAGTGCATTATGGACTGGGGCTGATTTCACGAAGTACCAAAATTGATGATATATTCAAAAGAGAATGAGGAAAGATGGGCCGGTTGAATTTCTTTGCTCATCTGATGTTTTTCACTGGGTAAGAAAACTTAAGTGGCTGTTTCCGATTTGATGCTATATCTAGATATCAAAGTAGGAAATTGTCTGTGGTGGTTTAGTGTAAAACTTTGATCATTTTAATGACAGAAATAAGGTTGGTTTTGTTTTAGTGCCTAAAAGTTGGAGAAAGAGAGCTGTGACTGGTGGCTTAGAAGTTACTGCTTATCCTTCCAGAATAAATGTGGAGTGTAAAATCATTTACCTTATTATCAAAAACAAATATTAACTGTGGAAAAAGTAAAAGAGATTGTCAGAGTCTTGTGCTTATATGTTAATCTTTATATCTCGAGTTTCTTAGCCCAACAGATGGCCTCAATATATCTCATTTAAAAAGAGAGGAGAATTTCGATCTTGCACATTGGTGCATCCATGATGTGTATACGTATAGATGATTGGGTGGTTTTATAGAGGAACATATTTTGGTGTAGCTTATCTACGTTAAAAAAAAATTGGTCTTTTGCTTGTATCTTAGTCTTCTGCTGTCTTACTTTACACCAGATTATGTTCTTTTTGAATTTACATCCACCAAATCCATCTCATTATTTCTACCTGTTTCTGCATTGTGAGGAAGCTGACGTTCTGAGTGTGATTTAACTGACGACTATGTCTGGTTTTTGCAGATGATGAGGACGAATATGAGGAAGCTGGTGGTGGTAACCGGCTTTTGGGATTTATGTTCGGAAATGTTGACTACTCTGGTGATCTTGATGTTGATTACCTTGATGAGGTAATTTGCTCCTTTTATTCTTTTCTCCCCATGTAATTTGACTCTCAAACAATTAGTATGCTGTGAGATCCCAAATTAATATGTTAGAGGTACTAAAGTGTCTCCAAGTACCAATTGAACCTAACAGGATAATTATTTGCTGAAATTTCAGCACAAGCAACTCATATCTATTTAGAAGGACCATGTTTCTTTTTCGTGCACCCATAATATAGTAATATGTATAGAAAATTCGATGTGGAGAATCATTCGTTTTTGTAGGTTCTCTACTTTTTGGTATATCAATTGTATAATGAAATATTTTTTACCTTATAAAAGAAATCCAATAATCAATATTGTTGAGAATGACATATGTGCTCGAGAAGTTAGCCAAAAAAGAAAAGGAAGAAAACCAAAAGAGTCCCTTTAACCTGTGCAAAGGAAGTATTAACTCCTTCCAGCACACTCTCTATCTCTTTCTTTTATCTTGGTAAATACTTAGGTTTATTCACAATTGCAGCGCCAACTTGGTTATCGATACTGGAGTTTACAGAAGAGAAGCTGTAGAATTTTGCCTAATCATCTAGGCCTTCAATCAAGTCATTAAACTGTCCGTGTTTTTCAGGAAAAAAACCACTACACCAAAAACTCTAGTTTTGTAAACATTATGCTCTAAAAGGGAGAGTTAATGTTTCATCTTAGAAGCATCTTTGATTTCTCTTTAGCCAAACAGTTCAGAATATGCCCAGGGTATAATTCTCCATATGCTCCTGCATCTTGTCTTGAGCCTCTGAAGACATCCCAGGTTGAGGAAGTGCCATATGGCACTCCAGACAATAGCTATGGCGCAGGGATGCTCTTTTTCCCTGTCCATATTTGTCCAGTCTCTTCTATCTCTCTTTTTCCATGCTTAACTTTATAACCTATAACCTTTATTATTAAAATGTTTTCTAATATTCTATTTGGCTTTCATGTTGAGCCGAGGATCTCCCGGAAACAGCCTCTCTACCCTTCCTGGGTAGGGGTAAGGTCTGCGTCGACTCTACCCTCCCCAGGCCCCACTAGTGGGATTTTACTGGGTATGTTGTTGTTGTTGTTGTATTCGGCTTTCATGTTCTTTTCAAAAGCCACTAGAATTGCTCATTAACCCTTCAAGAGATTTTCCTTTGTTTCCCTCTAACAACTTAAGGCTTCAAGATGATGCAATGTAAAACCTTCCTACTGTGTTCTTGCTTTGTCTTCATTTTTCCAACTTGATAGGGGACATAGTTATCGCTAAGGCTCACTTCTACGTATTAATTGCAGTGTATCTTTTTTTTTTGATAAGGTAAAAGTTTATTAATTGCAGTGTATCTTTCAATAAGAACAGTTGCAACAACAACCAGATGCTATCCTTAGCCAATATCTTAACAATCCATTCCATGGAGGATGCTTGCCGGGTTTAGCACCAATTTATAGAATCGTAGTTCATTCATTTTAATACGCCTCAAATTTTTTCTTTCAGATCTCGCATGTTGTGTGACTTCTTCTGGTGTCTTCTTTGCTTATTAAGTGGTCAAATTCTAATGGTAATTATGTTTTTCAGGATGCGAAGGAGCATCTTGCTGCTTTAGCTGACAAGCTTGGTCCGTCTCTGACAGAAATAGATGTATGTATCAAAAGTCTTTTATCTGTATAATTTGGAAAGGGTAAATCCAACCATTTATCTCCGTGATTTATTTGGAATTATATTTCGGATCAGGTGTTATAAATATGAATGTTTGTTGCCGAATTTCTACCGGAGTAGTTTTGTTGCTAATATTTTCTCCATGTCTTTTTCCCTTGGATGTTCAGTTGTCAGCGAAGTCACCACAAGCATCTGCAGATGCTGCTGAACAAGGTACATGTTTTCCACCAATGCAATCTCATGCAGTTTCTTATCTCTTTGGTATTTAGTTCTTTGAGACTTTCATTGGCAATTCTTTTGTCCTTTTCTCTTCTTCCTATTAAAGTTTGCCTGTCAGAAGTGAAAGCACACTTAATTAAACGTTGTAAGCACAGGTTTTTAACCTGTAATTCACTATAGAAAGAGCCAGAAACAATTTATGTGTTTGGCATTGTGATAAGTCATATTTCTCCTAATCATTAGGAGCGCAATCGTTCTTCAGTGAAGTAGTTCTAGTAGTTTCCTTATTCGTAAGATGTTTATTCTCAATATGCATAGTTAGCCCAATGACATGCGGGTTATGGTTTGTTCCTCCCCAGCTTCCAACTGTCAAGATTCAGGTGCTTGAATCATTGGGAGGATCTTTACTTGTCTCATATTTGTGACATAAGCCTTGTTAAACTTTCTATAGCTTCATATCAAAGATCTCCCTCTTCTCACACTGTTTTGAGTTTGCAGACAAATGTAGTGTCAAAATATTTAGCTATTAAAGTAAGGTAATTTGAACCTTACTGAGGCCACAATCTGGAAATAGCCACTTATTAAATTAAAAAAAGAACCTAATTAGAGCTAGTATATCATGAGGATCTACATATCCAATCTCCAAGGTATGTGATAAGGCTACATGCTAGCCCCTAATAATGAGACTTGACGAAGGTCGGGCAGAATCCGTGTTAAGGGTTTGTACATTGCCCCTTGACATGGGTTTGTGAAAGTGTTGGCAAGCAATATACGGAGCTGGGTGTGTGTTTAAGTTGGTGATGGACTTAGATAAGTTAGCTAGGCAAGGTGCCTTGAGTGTTGGCAAGACAGCCTTGTTTCGTGGGCATTAGCTATGGCAATGAAGGCGCATGGCACTTGACAAAGGCATGCGTGCGGATCAGTGGGACGACTAAGTTTGTGGCAAGACGTGGTCATGAGCTTATGGACGAGGCATGGTCCAAGAACAAGGCAAGGCGGGAAGACTAAGTATGGGCAAAAGCTGGAAAACAAGTGTGCAAGACATGTGACTGAAGAGGTGTGCAATGCATGTGCTGTGGAAGATAAAGGCTTGTGCAAAGCACATGAGCAGTTGGCTAAAATGCTGAAGACAAGTCCAATTTCGTGGGAAGGGTTTGAATTCAAATTCAAACAGATTGGTTATGCTTGTTTGTAGGTCTGTCATGTGCATGGCACATTGTTAAACTGCCCCTAACTGCCACTTTGTAAAACTGCCATAGGCAGCCCCCTTTTATGTGTATATTTCATTTGGGATTAAGGCGAGTAGCATATGTGAGCCTTTCCTAACTGAGTCCTTTTTGTATTCTGCGAGAATAATAAAGGTTGGGTGATTTTACCCGTAATTCTGTGTGTTGTTAAGTTTGGCTAAGTCTGAATAATTCTAAGTGTCAAGTTGTGTGCGAAAAAGTGAGGCTGAGTGGCTGTGTGTTTAGCTACTGTCGTGCAGTGTCAATAGAGCGAAAATTGACCCTGTAACACTACACAAGATTGGAAGATGTGAAAATGCTCAAGGCCTAACTACAGTAAATTGAGAAATACTGGAAATAATTGCCAAGTTGATCTTCATGTTTAGGTTAGACTCTGATTTTTGAAATAGTTCCACCAAATGGAGCTCTTTTGTGAAACTGAACTGCATCCGACATTCTTTTGTTAAACAGTCTCTTTATTTATTGTGTGCCAGAAATTCTTATGTTTGTGCGTTTCTTGTTGCTACCATGTCCGGAGCTTGGTGTGTTAAAACTCCAGTGGTCTTATAGTTCTTTATTCCGTTTGTAAATGAATATTCTTACATAAATTCACACCACATGATTTGGTTTTTCCTAGAGGTTACATTGGGTTTTCCTTATCATTCTTAAACCATTATATTTTACTCGACCTATTCTGTCTTTCAGAAGTCATTTCTCATTTCTCTTCTCTCCGCTTTATTGAACTAAGCAGATTATGATGAGAAGGCAGAAGATGCTGTAGATTATGAGGACATTGATGAGCAGTATGAAGGACCTGAGGTACAAACTTTTACCGAAGAGGACCTATTATTGCCGAAGAGGAATTATTTTTCATCAGAAGTATCTTTAGCTACTTTGGAGAATCGTGGTTCTGTTTTCGATGATGAAAACTATGATGAGGATGATAATGAAGAGGAGAAGGAACAGGAGGTGGTAGAGAACGCTGCTGAAGTTCAACCTACTCCTGAAAAAGGTTAGTTTAAAAGCAATGTTTTTTTTTGGGTACAGATTTTTCTTAGTGTTTATATTGTTAGCCTGAAGTACTGATGGCTGTCTACAATCTTTAGCGTGTAACTCTACCTTTTGATATTTAACACTGGTTGCCACAACTCAATTTATAAAGCTGTCTTCCTGTTAGTTTGTTACAAACCTCAGGTTTATTAGGGAAAGTTGCTGTTCACCTAACTGAAATTGAAGGTAGACCAAATAGCCTCAGTAGTTAAATGGTTATGGGTTTTTGGAACATTCACAAACCAGCAGAAACATGTGGAGCTCAAATGAAGCCGAATATCAAGCTGACGAATCAGAGTTATTCTAGCAAAACATAACCCAGAGTCCCTTCTGTAAGAGGGTGGCAGAAAATAAACCCAACATTGCAGTGAAAGCTAGATTTGATCCTAAAACACCAGATAAAAGTTGATCCTTGAGATGAGTCATTGTGGTTAGTTTGTCAAACTCTTGTTTTGCTTGCAGCCTTCTGTGCCTAATTTCTGTTTTCCTCCTAGCAATTTTTGGCGAACTGAAATTGGCTGCAGCAGCTGTGAACAAGTCCATGTGACAAAATACTCTTTTGGAGGGGCG